GTGAATAAATAAATAAATAAATAAATAAAAATACAAGCAACAAATAAGCAAAAACCATTCCTGGATATACATCTATGAATGGCTAAAACGGTTTAAAGAAATATATCTCTGAATCTATTGTTGGAGAAGAACAACTGAAAACAAAAATCTAGCAGATGTAGCTTTGGCATCCTTGCCAGACAAACAATCAACCAGAAAACAATCAAGGAACTACCAAGGGGACAAACAGACAAACAATCAAACAGAAAACAATACCCTAATCAAGGAATTACCAAGGAGAAAAACTACACCTCCACCAACACTGGCAGGGCAAGCTAATGTATGCCAATTTTAAGTTTTAAAGCTTGTAGTTTGTATACTGTTGTCTTACTGAAATAGGGCTGTGTTGTCTGGATGAAATCACATGTCCACTTAGGACAAAAGATGCTCATTAAGGGCCTTCCGGACTGACTCTCCTGTTGCCTGCAGCTGTTGTTATCCATCCATCACTTCATAGAAGTACAGGGATATATGAAACTTTCAAAGTATTTCAGTTGCAAGGACCTTGCTACAAGTTGTAAGGAGCAGTGGAGAGCAGCATAACTTAATCCAACTGAATCCAACCGTCTCTCAATTTAATAATAAATCTAGCAGACTTCTGCTATTTCACATTCTAGGCCATAGAGTTTCTTGTATTCATGATTTAGGCTTTCTATGAAATACTGAATGAAATAGGCTACTTGAGATGATTAAAACATTGGGGGTGAAGGGAGGAATTTTCAGGTAGAAAAGAAGTGCAGTTTGGTCAGTGATTCCATTTCAACGTTCAGACAATGTTATCAAAAACAGTAGTTTATTTAATATCCTATAATCTGGTGGATAACAGGCAATTTCTACCTTGAGGAGTGGGAATTTTCTGACAAGAATAAAAACAGTCCTGTTTTTAGCCCAACACACACTGAGCGCAAATAAAGCAAGAGGATAGTTACCTCTAAGGCAACAGGATTGCATCAAAAGGGAAGGAGAATATGAGCACTGATTTGTAATCACTCTTTGACTGCATGAGGGAGTGGCATGGGGAACTTTGTCCTTAGGCCACAGCTATCATTTGCCTCCAACAAATGGGAAGCTGGCTCTGAATTAGCCTGTTTATTTCCTCTCACTGGCAACTACAGTGGCCTCTTCTGCTACCTGGCATTTTAACTGACAATGTCAAAGTCTGGAGATCTTCTACATGTAAAACATTTCATCAAGTTTATAGGCCATTCTCAAAGTCCAGTCCTTTTGCCCAGAAGCTCCATCTTATAATATTTTTCATTTAGTACCTAGCTCCAATCAAATCTCAGGACTGATACGGCTACTTGGGGATGCTTGGGTACTATTAATCTCTCATCTAAATGCCAAAGGGCAGTGTGTGTGTTGTCAGACCAGAGGAAGATGAAAGGAGAGGATGGAGCTGAGAAATCAACAGTTAAATCTTGCCTGATATCCCATTGCAGGAGAAGGATGCAGCAGTGCGCTGGCTTTCCATCTTCAACAATGTAGCTGACCAGCTTTATTACCCCTGTGAGCATATGGCCTGGGCTGCTGATGCTGAAATTATTCATGCCAACTCAAATAGGTGGTGGACGCTCAGTACATCTCTCTGGGGCTTTTCTCTGCTGCTGGGGATTGCACGGTAAGGAATGGAGGGGGGGAGGGAGGAGAAAAAGACAGCCTGCATTCTAGATCTCAAAGTACTTGAATAATTGGAACTTAGTTTAGTCTTTCTCCAAGCTTGATTCTGATTGAGAAAGTTTCATTCCTCTTTCAGTTTGACTGCTGTATCAAGAATGTTCTCTATTATCACAGGATTCAAGCAATATTAGGGAGAGGGAACTCTTCTTGCTCCAGAAATATGGGCTGCAGCTAAAATTTTGCTTTACATCCTCATTCCAGCTCTCTCCGAATTTTATTACTCCTAAGAAAGCAGCAGCATACAGAATCCAGGTATGACTCCTTGCATCACAAGCATTTTTCTCTCTCCAACTGACAGGGATAAACACTATTTGGCATATAGGCACATATTTGAACACTTTCCAGAAATGTGGAAGAGTTAATCCAGAAGGCTAAGGCAAATTGTATTAAATCTTCATTGTTCTTTGCCAATTTCCTTTTCTTTTGTACCTGCTCCCCAAAACTTAGTTAATAAAGTAAGCTGTTTTTGGATTACATAGCTGTCCTTTCATAGTAGCAAATTAATAGTCCAGTTGGACACATTTATTATGCTGTTTGGGACAAAAGTAGAATTTTAGCTCATGGGGATGTCTTCTTGACTGATTCAGTTATTGCCAAGAATAAAAACAGTGGCCTTGTTTCAGGACAAACAATTAGATTTCTTCCTCAAATGTTGATAGCAACAAATAAGCTCAGTGAACCTATTTTTCTCTTCCATGTCTCGTTTGCCTCAGCAGGGACTTCTTTCAGAAAGCAAGGGCTAAAATGCACAAGGAGGTCTTGACCATCATCAGGAACCTGGCTGACCTTGCCAATGCCATCCATTGGTTGCCTCCAGGAATTCTCTGGGCTGGAAAGTTTTCTCCGTGGTTTGTGGGCCTCATGGGAAGCATTTCTTCCTTCATTGGGATCTATCTAAACTACAAAGGGGGCAGTTGCAAAACGGTTTGAACAGCAACTTCACAGTATCATATGGGGAAAGGTTCTATCACAGAAATTCATAAATTGTTATATAATCTCTGTTAAAATGGGCGGAGTAACTCCTATTATGGGGGAGGCTGGGTCAGTTTTAGGTTCATTCTTCTATAAAAAAAATGGAGCTGCTTTTAAATAAATCATAGGCACTTTCTTGAAGGATCTATTTGTGAGAGCTTAGAGTTTAGTTTACCTGCTTCACTGTGTAATTCCTCAAGGAGCAGGTAGCTGCCCTGCCTAGTTAAGTAATTTGGTTACAGTTTTTTAATGTGAAAAAGAATAGTCTGGTTGTGTGTACAGCATTCTAATGTGAAACAATCAGGGTTGATAATAAAAGATACAATCTTAAAATTTTCCTTTGCTGATTGGTTCTGATGATATAGCCCTGAACAGTTTCTTTTCACCAAATGTTTATTTGGAGTATGAAATCCTATTTACTCACAGCTACATTCAGCTTCAGAGAACCAGTTTGGTGTAGTGGTTAAAGTGTCAGGCTAGAAATCAAGAGACCATGAGTTCTAGTCCTGCCTTAGTCACGAAGTCGGCTGGGTGTCCTTGGGCCAGTCACTCTCTCTCAGCCCGAGGAAGGAGGCAATGGCAAACCACTTCTGAAAAACCTTGTCAAGAAAACTGCAGGGACTAGTCCATGCAGTCTCCAGGAGTCAACACTGACTCAAAGAGACCAAAAAAAACCCAAAAAACAAAACCCACATTCGGCTTCAGAGAAATCTCAGGGTGTTAAAGATAGCAGCAGCAGCAGCAGCAGTAGCTACTGAGCTGTTGTGCTCAATTCACAATACAGACACACTGCCACTGCTGGACACAATTATGTTTCCATGCCAAAGAACATCTTTCACGTTTCACTCCTTTTGTACCAGTTTTGCTTTCGTCCACATCCTTGAATTTTAGGGCCTACACATTTTATCCCCAATATGTGAGAGCTCAGCTTGCTAGCCATTAAGAAGTCCTGAAACTCACTCTCAGACAAGAGCCCTACAAGACAGATTCAGCAAAGACCTATGTATCTGTCAGGATTATAATTAAGTATCGAAGGTCTGAATGTGATATGAGGGAGACCATCATTTGTTTTCTGTTGGCAACAACCAACACAAGTAATCATGTCAAACATAATTGACAATTTCAAACAAAAATAACACTTCAAAAGTTGAACATATTTTAAGGTTCATTTTATGATTTATGGTTTTATGGATTAATTGACTCAAACAGGTTTTGGCTGCATCTGAGATTCCACAATTAACCTACAGTAGAGAAACAGTTGCAATCATTGCTTAAAAAATAGCCATAATTTGGTGTGCCAGGATCCCATTTGATCATTACAGTAGTGCACAAATTTGACAAAAAAAATATTAAACACTGAAAACCATCAACTTTACAAATAAAATTAAAAAGGAGAGTTACACAGAATGACTGCTATGTAATAACTACTAAGGGATGATCTATGTACAAAGTTGCTAGGATTTTGTCTAAAGAGATAGCTGCTGGGACCCTTCAACTTAAAATCCATTGAAGAAGCTTCAGGCTGACATATTCACACAGAGAAGCAAAGCACAAAATGAGCTTTTTAGACTTAAGCCACTAGAGGCAGAGGACTTCTCAACAGCCACTTCTTACTACAGAGAATCTTTTCTGTTCATCATTAAGACAGAAGGGAAATAAAAATAAAAATGCCATCCATATTCTAAAGTGCTTGGGTTCTTCTCATACCACCCATATATATCAGAAAATGCTGATAAGCATGGCACAAATGGTCAATCAGAATGCAATCCACAAACATTGCAAATACAATAAAGGAGGGGAGGGCGGTTACATTAAAGGAAGGATTTTTTTGTGATGCAGCTGGCAAATCCAGATGAAGAGCTTAAAAGCTAATTAAAACAAGCCATTCTTTCACGGCTGCCAACTGTAAACTTAATGACATCATCATAAGATTCTGGAAAATGGTTCTGTAAGCTGGGAGGGAGGGTCACATTAAAGTAAATGGCACCATAGTTTCTGCCATGCATGGACTGTAATAGTCCTGCTTTCAAAGGCAGTCTCCCCGACCTCCAAACTTCTTAATGGCTCTAAAAAGAAACCAACATCTTAGTAGAGTCAAAACAATATATACAGGCCCCATGATAAAACAAGATCCAGAGTACAAGAGCTTCACCTTGAAACACGGTTCATGTGCAACAAGGTGGAAGAAATCTGTCTTTTCCATAACACACTCTCAAAGTAGCACTTGTCAGGACACAAATACAATGTACAGAATGTAAATCTGGGGAAAATTAAACTTCAGCAGTTTGCATCTCCAGTATTTTACTGACATGAGGAACAGAGACAGAATAGAGGCAATGGACATTCCCATAGGGAATGACATCCTTTGATGAGGAAGAAGCTCCACTCAAAACACCTTGATTAGTGATTAAGTTTTGACATTCTTCATTTCCTTCATTTGAAGAATCTACCAGAAACATTTCAGCATCCAGTGTAATTCTGAGCTGCATCCCCCCACCCCCCACATCTCTGGAAGGGAGTCTGGAAAATTGAGCCTGCTACTATGTGGGCCAGTTACTGCAGCAAGAGTCTTTAGCAGGAACAAAAATCTAGGACCCAGCTTGCAGTGGAGAATTTGCCTACAGAGGGGGGAGGAGCAGGAAGAGGAAGGAAAATGAGTCCTCAGTGGAGATGAGGTGCTTTATGCAAGGTGACAAAAGAAAATACATGTGCAACCAACCAGGGCCTATCTAATCCCCCCAGATTCCTCCCACAGAGTCCCTAATATCTTCAACATCTTTGTTTGGTCCTACAATAAAGTCCAAGGGCAACCTTATGGTTGAATGTGAAGACTACACGGAGGCTCTTCTCAGGATATCTATCCCCCAAGAAACTCTTAAGAACGTTACTGTAAAAGCTTGCCTTGGAACCCAAAGAAAGCCAGAGTAATGTTCTTCTCCAAGGAACAAGGTAAGCAAAGCCAAGATTGTAACATGAAGCCCCAACACGGTATCTTCATTTTGAACCATTTTCCAGGAAAATCTTGCAGCTCTGCCCTCAGATTTTGCAATTAGGCCAAGGCAGAGCATTCCGACACCCATCTGGGCAAAGAAGCAGGCCTTCGTGCTGATCAGAAAAAAATAACATCATCTTTGCTAGCGTCATCCAGGGCAGGTGGAAGGGCATGAATGCTGTTGGGCTTTATGGGACCAACAGAGGTAGATGGTGCTTCAGGATGGCTGCTCTCAGCAGCACTAGCCAGTTCTGCTAGAAAAGAGAAAGGAAAAAAAAAAGATTGTTATGCAGCATAGTAGTTGATCAGCTACCCCAGATAAGCTTGTCAATGTATTTTACCTGGCAGGAAGGCAACATTCTGGCAATGCAGAGAGACAGGGCTTGTAGAATGTCTGTTTCGAGACTGAGATTCTTCCTTGGTAACCATCTTGGAAGCTGGGAGAGGCCTCACATCACCCAATGCTAGAAACAGAAATGAAAGACAAAAGCTCAGCTGGTCCATGAGAGTATAGAAACCATTGGGCATTAAACCATAGATCAATCAACTAAATAAGGCTTCTTCATCAGTTAGAACTAATTTTAATAAATACATGTTGAAAGAGATCCATAAAATACATTAAGACAGAGTCTGATTAGTTTGGTTTGCGGTACTGGGTCATGATCTGAACCCAGCCACTATTATTTGGATACCATACTTTTGATTATGATATTGGGAGCTCTATAACTAACATTCAACAAACTGGTCAGGGTAAACTATGGTTTATTGCAGAGAGAGACAATAGTTTTGCAGCTATGGACTGTATTTTTCAACTTCCAGCAGCTTCATGGAACATGGTGGCATAATATCTAATTTGCATGAAAGAACTCTGGCCCTTTCCCCACTTTTTGGTATTGAATGAGTTTCATAAAATTGATGTATTGAGGCACTATTCTTCTGTTTTATGTTTGTTTTTAAATCACACAAAATCATACTGCCATTATCCTGCCGTTTACCCTCAGATGCAATTCCCACAGGCTTCTGGGTAGCAACAAAAACGGGACTGGGGACTGGAGGGTGTGCAAGGCTTGTTCACCCCTCAGTTCAATATAATATGAATCCTGCAATTCTATTTTTTTTTTTAATAAAGTAAGTTTGTATATGTGAGAGCGAAATTGAGATCTGTCAACATGCAAAAGGGGAACATATTTTTGCCACAAAGAACTGTCTATCCACATATAACGTATAATACATTTTGCACTTCTCAGAATAAGACAGACCGAAACATTTTAATGAGCTAGTAAACTAGACTTTCCTCATCTGACAACTCCCAGACAGGATGGAACTGCCAATTCCTTGAAATCCCCTCCCTGCATATCCATTAGAATGTTGGGAACTGAAGTTTTATGCATTTATATATATTTATGTTTTTAATGTTTGTTGTGAGTCGCCCAGAGTTCCCCCATTGGGGGGAGATGGGCGGGTGAGAAATTTAATTAGTAAGTAAGTAAGTAAGTAAGTTAGTTCTAGCACATCAGGAGGGTAAATGGCTGAGGAAGGCTCAGTAGATAATGAGGAAATTCCACAAAATTCCACTGCCATTGAGGACTTCAATCTAGACCTCAGGACCATCAGTAGTTCCAGTCATGCCTCCTAGCATGTCCCTATCCAAGAGTTCTCTGCAACTTACTTGAACTGTCAATCCTGTGGGAGGCCATCTTGACAGACTTTCCACCTTTCTCCTTGCTGCCCTTGGTCAAAATGGCCAGCTTAGTGGGGATTTGCTGCTGCACAGCTGCCTGTTTCTGGATCTGGTTGGTGGCACTCAACAAGTGGATGGGCACCTCATTCTTGAGGGCCAGAATGGGGCGGCCTCCCTCCAGTGCAGCACTATCCTTTCGGACCAACTCTCCTCGCTCCAGGTAGTCCATCCCAGATACGCTGGCTCGTCCACATGGCTTGGTAAGCAGCATGGTTCCTTCCATACCTTCCCCATTGAAGCTGACAGAGTGGCTCAGGGCATGTGCCTGGGAAAAGAGGAAGATATTGGCCATTCATCTCTAGAGGAAACAGACTTCTAAGCTCATGTTCTGGAAGGTATGGTGAGAAGTTGTGGGAGTGGCAGCAGACTACCAATGCTCAGGGCTTACTTTTCAAAACCCCTGGTCTACACCAGCACCCAATAACAGCAAAATACAGCATGTACATCAGGTTTTCCAACAGATTGTATAATTATTAAAATATTACTAGTTGCAATAAACAGAGCTCCCTTATATCTTTCCGATAGGCCTTCCAGCACTCACTTGGCCTGTCTCAGGACAGAAGGCACCTGAGACTACATGCTGCTTCTTCAGCTTGCGCAACTGTTCCAGACGTTCACGCTCCTTTTCAACTGCTCGCTGGGATTCCCGCAGCCTCTCCAAGTCATGCTGGTAGGCCTCTCGTTGCTGTTCCAGCTCCTCCTGTTCTTGCTTCAGACGCTCCATCAGCTGCCGTGCCTCCTCCTCTTGCTCTTGTAACCGGTTCTTGTCTGCCTCTATCTGGCGCCGCTGGCGGTCACAGTCTCGCTCCCAGCGCATCTGCTCAGTCTTCAACTGGCTCTGCAATTTCTGCACATTGGCCAGTTCTTCCCGCTGCTTCTCAAAATTGCGCTGTCTCTCCTGCTCCAGCAGCAAATTCCCTCGCGTGGATTGCAGCCGGAACTGCTTCTGCAGCTCAATGTAGCTATCCTGCTGGGCTGTCACTGCCTGGGAAGGGGGAGAGATGCACCACTGAGCTTTCTCCTTCAAAAATCTGGGAGAAGGGAAGAACCCCCAGGTTGGGGGCCAAGGGTTGCAGTTCTGTGGAAATGCTCCAAGAAAGATGGCCTTAATTGTGTTCCCTTATTTGCAATATGCACAGTGCTCTGGCAGAAAATGTAGCCCCTCCCCAGTTATTTATTTATCATAATTCTCTCTCCAGAACAATCCTCCCAAAGTGACTTACAAGTAACAAACATTTGTAAGTAAAAATATAATTATTATTATTATTTAGAACAAAAGGGCAACTAATGATAACAGCCCTAGGGAGGAGGTGGAGGAATGAAGAGCCCAGGAATAAACCAAGAACTTCTTAAGCTTCTCCCTTGCCTTTCAGAGTTCTGGAGAAAAACTTCTAAACATGATCATATCACACAGCGCACTAAGCAGATCTGAAGAGTTTCTAATGAAAGCTGGACTGGAAAAGGCACCTTCCCCCTCCTTCTTCAAGACTTCTCCACTCAGGCCACTGCCCATCTTATCATTTTGCTAGTCCTTCTTAATCCATCAACATAAATCATAAAAGCCAAATCAGTTGAAGATGTTGGGAAAGGACAGAGGTGGGACTTTACCTGGAGACTAAGCAGCAACTGCAAGAGTGTCTGTATCCTTTGAACAAGCTGAGGAAAACACAAAGGGGAGGCTGTTACCTAATATCCGTCTTCATGAACCCTGCCATTTACGCACCCAAATGTCAGGAAGCAACAACTCATTTCTATCATTCCAGGAGGGCATAAATAAGCCCAGTCAGGTTTTATTTCTTCCACCAGAACACTAGTCTCTCTTCCCTCCCCCCACCCCGCCTTCTCAAAATCCTCTTTGGGCAGAACATAACTGCTCTGCAAATGTAACTGTGCGGTCAAATCGATGGCTGAGAAGAACAAATGCAAAGCTCCCTTTGTTGAGTACATGGTTCTTCAGATCTGCATCAGAAACACACACTCCAAATCCCATAACTCCTCCAGAAATTGCAAATGAATTGTAATTTCTAAAGTATCAGAAAGGAATGATTATTAAATAGATGGAAAATGATCCTATTAACTGTATTTAATTTAATAAACTGTATTTAAGGTAGTTGCCCAGAGTCTTTTGGAGTGGGCAGCATCATGATGATGGTGGTGATGATGATGCAACTAGATTAAATCAAATTTAGTTTTTGGCCTGGCTTTGCCCACTTTCTGGGATAAGGCAGCTGGCACAGCTTTTAAAGGCCTAAGGCAGCCCTCACTGAAAAAGCAGCTGCTCTCCTGCTCTTCACCATCATGGAGAAAATAATGGGCCAATACCTCTGATTCAGTCCCCAGCAGTGGCTGCAAGCTGCTATGATGATCCATTCTTGTGTTACTGACCTGAAGAAAAGCAAAAGAACACAGGGGCTGGGTTCACACGACACAACAGACTAAGCTAAAATGGGGTTGGCTAGTCTGGTTCAGCATGCTGTGGGAACAGGACCATTGCATTAAGCCATAATATACTGTACTTTAATTGTTCAGTCACATTATGTGAACACAGGAATTGGGTCTGGATTTGGTGCATTGTGTGAACTCAGCCAAATACTTAAGACCAATGTTTACAAGGGAGTTTACAAGAGGCCACTAGCAGCCTCTATGTCCCTCATTCTCTGAGAAACCTTCATGTATATCAGTTTTCTTCCAAAGACCCTAAATGTCTATGGGACTTCCCACATATCTGCTCTTTCATAATTCTGTAAAATAGGAAATACTGTAAGATACTGACTGTCCAAAGTTGTCGTAGTGAGTTTCACAGTTGACTGGGGATATGAATGAATCCTTCCCAGACAGACCATGGGTATATGTCCTCTGGAGGGTTAAGGGGAACAACATAGTATGTCCTTCTGAAGGACCACAGGTGGTCATATGGTGATAACACCAGAAAGGTCATGGCCAAAATGTCAGCTTTCTTCTTTTTTTGTAAATGCAAGTTGGTAGCCATCACAGAAGCTAAGCTAAGCTAAGCTGAGGCACGCCTGCTGAAGTCTCAGAAGTGGCTGAAGGAATTCCAAGAGATTGAGGACTCAGTCTGATTGTCCCACAGCAAAATTCCTTTCCCTCCCCAGGAGTAACAAAGCAGGATAAAAGTCTCCAATAGAAGAGAATATATGTAGCTCAGGGTTGAACTATGGAGTCCTTGGTACCCTCTGAGCTTGGTTGTTTGCTTGCAGACGTTTCATTACCCGACTAGGTAACATCATCAGTGCTAATGAGTGTGGAGTCCGCTCCCTGTTTATATACAGTAGCATGCTCTTCCACTGTTGATGGGGGTGGGAGATTGGGTTGTTACTTTGGTAATGAAGCACTTGACTAGTGTGAGCTTTTCGATAGACTTGCCTTTCAAATTTGCTGTCATTTCCTCTGCTGCTGAGGATATCCAGGAAGGGTAGTATGCTGTTGTTTTTTGTTTCCCTTGTGAATTTTATTCCTTTGGAGATGTTGTTGATTGTTTCATGTGTCTCCTCTAGTTGTTCCTTTTTTATTATGACCAAGGTATTGTCTACATACTGGATCCATACTTTTGGTTGTATGTGTAGGAGTGCTATAGTTTCTAGATGCTGCATCACAGTCTCTGCTGTGAGTCCTGACAGTGTGATCCCATGGGTATTCCTATGATTTGTTGGTATGTTTGTCCACCAAACTGAAAGTAGGTAGTGAGGCAGAGGTTGATGAGGTCCAAGATTCTGGGTATTTCGATCTTAGTGTATTTGGCTAGGTTGGGTGTGTTGTGTAGTATTACTGCCATGGATTGTTTCGCTAGTTCTGGATCTATGGACGTAAAGAGTGCTATGAAGTCATTCGACACCTTCGTCATAATAAAAAAGGAACAACTAGAGGAGACACATGAAACAATGTGTCAACAACATCTTCAAAGGAATAAAATTCTCAAGGGAAGGAAAAAACAACACACTACTTTTCCTGGATATCCTCATCAGCAGGGGAAACGACAACAAATTAGAAAGGCAAGTCTACTGAAAAACAACCCGCACTAACCAAGTGCTCCATTACCAAAGTAATAACACAATCTCCCACAAGAGGAGCTGTGTAAGAACATTATTTTTAGCTTTGTTGTATGCCACCCAGAGTCACCTGTGGTGAGATGGGCAGCTATATAAATTGGTTTAATAAATAAGTAATAAATAAATGAATTATTCGGACAAGTACAAACACACTACAGCAACCCAGAACACCAGAAAAAGGAAAGAGACTGCCTATATAACATCTTCCAACAAAATGGATACCCATACAACTTTATCAAAAAGTGCCTGACCACTCAACCCACTACAGCACAACCAACACAAGCACAATAGCACAACACAACACAGCCAACACAAGCTATGAAAAGGATAACACTACCATACATAAAAAACATCTCAGAAACAACCAACAGACTCTAACAACCACATGGCATCACCATAGCACACAAACCAACTAAAGCCCTCCAAAACATCTTAAGTAAACCAAAAGACCCAGTAGCCCAAGAGGAAAAAAGGACTGTAACAGCCACTATGTAGGACAGACAGGCAGAAGACTAGCAGAGCGCATTCATGAACACCAACTAGCAGTCAGAAGACACGATGAAAACTCCTTAATCTCACAACACACAGACTCAACCATAATTTCAACTGGGAAACTGTCAGCATCCTAGACCAAGCCAAATCCAAAAACGGTAGGGAATTCCTGGAAGCTTGGCATTCTGACAAATCAGCCAACAATAGATAGAGATAAACCACATTTACACACCATTCAAAAGAAACAAAAAAAAGCTAAGAAGAAAATAAAAAGACCAGAAGAGTATATATGTAGCTCAGGGTTGAATTGTAGAGTCCTTGGTGGTCTCTGAGCTCTGAGCACCAAGGACTCCACGAAAAGACCAGAAAGCATCCTCTCCAGCAGACAACACCCAGATAAGCAGGAATTAACACCAGACAAACAATCAAGCAGAAAACAGTATCAAGGAGAAAACCACATCCCCACCAACATTGGCAGGGCAAGCTACTATATATAAACAGGAAGCAGACCCCACACTCACTAGCACTGATGATGTTACCTAGTCAGGGTTATAAAATGTCTGCAAGCAAACAATCAAACTCAGAGAGCACCAAGGACTCCACAGGATAAAAGTCTGCAATGTGCACAAGAGTTATATAAATGCATTCATTTCATCCCAACTTATACATGTTTCAGATTTTCAACTGCCAAAGCGGAGGAAGAAAAAGCCTAATGTTTTTCAAATTGAGCCAAAAACCACCCAAGAAAAAGATCAAGCCATCACTGTTCTCAACTCTATCCCAGGAAGGTTAGGGAATAACTACAGAGATACTTTGGAGAGCAAATTCCACTTACCAAGCATAGCCCTTCCTCTCCAGCAGAAGGGAGTTCTTGGAGCAACTGCTCTGAGTTGGCTAGGAGGCCTCGCTGATCTGGTATCCACTGCTCTCCACCACAGACTTTCTTCTTGAAGCTACCAGCTGAAAAATAAAAGGCAACCATTGGCATAGAGGGCAGATCACCCAAACTCTCTTAAAAAACTTTCACTACCCCTAGCTGACAGATGTGTTTGGACTGCAACTTTCAAAATTCCCAACTAGTCCATTTCAAAACTCTCTTCTTTGTCTCTGTTTTTAATCTATCTGCCCTTAGTTACTTTGTTGTTGTTCAGTCGTTAAGTCATGTCCGACTCTTCGTGACCCCATGAACCATATCG